TGATATACTTTGTTATAGATATTGTTGAAGGAAATATTGATGATATTCAGTAAGAGGAATATTATGTTCAACAATCTCATTTTTGTTTAATCTTTAACCAGAGCCTTTATTATTTAATTTTTTTTTCCTCTCCCTTTCTCCTCGTCCCTCCCTCCCTCCCCCACAATCAACTGGCAACAGAATACAAAATGAAAGCCACCCTGCGGCGCGTCTCGGACCCCTTGAGGTGCCAACACCTCTGGGACGCCATCACCACCATACGCAACCACAAGCAGCTGCCCTCATTCGACAGAATTCGAAGATACATGAGCCGCATGCACAATATGGAGTCAGGTAAGCGTTTGTGCTGTCGTAGAGGAAGAGCGATTGTTTATGATGCACTGATGGATTTGTTGGGAAGGAAGGGTGTTTGCAAGTGATTGGGTAATTGTTTTAGAGGATTGGGAGATACGCTCTTATTCAGAGACACTCTCTTCTCTCTCTCTCTCTCTCTCTCTCTCTCTCTCTCTCTCTCTCTCTCTCTCTCTCTCTCTCTCTCTTCTCTTCTCTTTCTCTCTTCTCTCTCTTTCTCTCTTCTCTCTTCTCTCTTTCTCTCTTTCTCTCTTCTCTCTCTTCTCTCTCTTCTCTCTCTTTCTCTCTCTCTCTCTCTCTCTCTCTCTCTTCTCTCTCTCTCTCTCTCTCTCTCTCTCTCTCTCTCTCTCTCTCTCTCTTCTCTCTCTCTCTCTCTCTCTCTCTCTCTCTCTCTCTCTCGCTCTCTCTCTCTCTCTCTTATCATTATTAAGGAGTGAAGTAAACAGAAATCCATAAATCATGAGAATTCTTATATTCATACATACTACATTCATTCACATAAAAAGAGAGGTTGAACATCACTGGGAGGCACTTTTATGTTTGGTTCAGGGAGACATAGAGGTACTTAGGAAATGTAAAAATGTGGGTTGTCTGTTGTTTGAAGAGTGTTTATCTTATTGCATTGTTAATTAACAAGTAAAAGGTACTCAGTTGAGGTTTAATTCATTGTTGAGAAATTAACATGTCCAGTACATGTTTTTACAAAATCAGTGTCAGAGAATTAGAAGTATCAGTACCTGGGTAGGATATTATTGACAACCAGATCATTTAAGATATTTTCCTTTAATCACTCGCCTGATTTAAACCACCAACTGAACACATTGCAGATGAAGTGGAGAAGCACCTGGAGGAGTGTGCAAGCGATAACCTCATTGCTGTGACACGCAAAGTGGGGCAAAAGGGCTCGAAAGTCGGCATCGAACAGGAGGGCTTCCGATTGCCAACACCTCCGGTAAATATATGTGTAGTTGGATTGGAGTCATTAACAGCTATGGTTTGGTTCAAATGGACTTATTAGGTAACAGCATGTGTTATATAATAATTGTTATTGTTGTTATTATTATTATTATTATTATTAGCATCAACAACATTGTTAATATTGTTATTATTATTATTATTATTATTATTATTATTATTAGCATCAACTACATTGTTAATATTATTATTGTTATTATTTTTATTATTGTTATTATTTTTATTATTATTATTATTATTATTATTATTGTTATTATTATTATTTTTATTATTATTATTATTATTATTATTATTATTGTTATTATTTTTATTATTATTATTATTATTATTATTGTTATTATTATTATTGATATTATTATTATTCATTTATTACATATATATGAAAGTCATCATCAGAAAATACATAACATAGGACATGAACTCACACCGCACGCATATAGATAGATCTCACATCACAAGAATAATGATAAAATGAATTAATAAACCAAATTGATTACTTGACCAATGAAGGTAACCGAGTGTTTTCTCCGCTCTCTTCCTCTCCCCCCCCCCCCCCCACTTCCCCCTCTGCAGGAAGAGCCAGACCGCCACGATTGGTACTGCTTTGAGTGCCACTCGGGGGGAATGGTCGTGTGCTGCTCCAAGTGTTACCGGGTCTTCCACGAAGATTGCATCAACGTAGAGGATAAACCATATAATAACGAGCCATTTGTGTGTGTCATCTGTAAGGTTAGTTGAGTGTTTTGTTTTTTGATATCTTCTTTTTCTTTCTTTCTTTCTTTCTTTCTTTTTCTTCCATTTTTACATATACTTCGACTACTTTTCTTTTCCTTATCCCCACCCCCTTTTTTTTTTCTTTTTTTTTCCTCTTTCTCTCTTTCTCTTTCTGTTTCTGTTTCTCTCTCTCCCTCCCTCTTCTTCTCACTCTCACTCTCAATCTCCCTCCCTCTCTCTTCTTTTTCTTTTTCATCTCTTTCATCTTATCTTCTGTGTTCTCTTCCTTCTCCTCTTCCTCCTCCTTTATTTTCCTTTTTTTTTTTTTTTCTTTGTTGTCTTTAGTGGAATCTAACTTATATCCATTTATTAATGAAAAAGGAGACACCTGCATTGTCCATTATATACTTACCTTTATTGACTTGAATCCCTCTTCCAGAAACGCTTATATCAGAGAAGTGTAAAGAGTCGAATTAGCAGAGAAGAATTAAACATGCTCTTAGCTTTTACAGTAGGAAGACTCAAGGAGAGAGTGAGTATTTGCCATGTATTCGTACTCTTTCTGTTTATGTTGTACTCGAGTTGTCATGCTCTTTGTCAGAGGTTTGAAGTCTGACTTTTTTTCTTTTTCTTTTTGAAATTAAGGTGAAATATATATATATATGAGTAATTAGGTTTAAGTTTATACCTTAAGGATTTGGTCATATTGAATTATAAAACACTTAATGCCTCAGTTTCAATCATTTTGAAGGAATTGTTAGTATGATGGACGTAATGATTCAGAACTCTGTCTTTAGGCTTTTTCTTGACCTTTTTGTATATGCTATGATGATATTAGCAAAAAAGAAATGCTGTGCCTCTATTATGGAAGTGCCAGGATATTTATTTAATTGATGCAATATTTCACTGATGATTATAGATTAATGGAATATACATAAAAATAACAGTGGTTATTTCAAAACTACTGACTATAACTCATAAATACTTAACATGTTTTTATATATGGCTCTTTCATCCTTATTCACACACTCATCAACATGTGCAGTCTCATCCATTAGACTTGAGTCCACCTGCTCCTCCTCAGTGGAAGTGTGCTAGTTGCTTCCGGTAATAGTGAAGTATGGGTGCCATTTCATGGGGGTGATTTTTATTGGTAAATACATAGTTGAGTATTTTTGTCAAATTTGCACAGATATTCTTACATATTGAAATGGATAATAGTTCTGTACATCTCTGTTTCCCTCCATTATGAATACGATGTACAATATTGCTGTCCACACTCAAGACTGCATAGAGTAGTCATACAACTTGAATTACAGAGTGTTATATGTATCTGGCACCTTACCATTATTGTTACCAAGAACCACGAGCTTTAAACCACTGTGTTAGCTTAGAGGCTGGCTTCAAGTACAATGTGTGCAACTACACGTATCTAATATAACGGAAATTCCTATAGCAGAGCAAAAACGTGAATCCTTAATCTGGCTCACAAATTCCATGCATCGAAGTGCTTTTGAATTGGGGTGTTTGGTGCTCTCTCTCATTTGCATAGGCCACCCTAGTAACCACGACATTATCTCCACCTCATCTAAAGATGATTCTCCCGACGCAGCTCCCAGTAAACATCCTGGAGAGGGTGATCCCGGCCCCATCTCAGAAGCCTGGCGTGTTCCTGAGTGACCGCGCAGCCACCAGCCAGCACACTCTCACACGTTCAGATCAGCTGAGTGGGGTGTCTGCCTCCGAGCCATGGAGAGCGCAGTTGCTCCTCCACCACCAGATGGACCTCAATACCATGGAGCAGAAGACCATCGACTGCAGATACAAGACCATTTATGATTTTGAGATTGACGCTTTAACCATTGTACATAATGTAGTTATCTATCAAGGAGGTAGGTGCACACTTTGGTTTTCTTACCTATCTACTTATACTCATACTCTCTCTCTCTCTCTTTCTCTCTCTCTTCCTCTCCTTCCTTTCAGATGGTATTAAAAGATTTTCTTTCTATACCTCCTACTCTTTTCACTTCTCTTCATCTTTTTCTTTTTCTTTATGGAGGATTTACAATTGCTATATAATATGAATATTGGCATAAAGTACTGTCTTTATGGAATATTCCTCTTAGTATACCACCTACCTAAACTAGACAACGAAATATCTAATTCATGGATACTTTTCTTCCTCCCACACCAGTCCACAGCAGTATGGCAGACATGGCGCGGCAGATGTTGCGTGACTGTCAGTACGACCTGGTGGAACTCGAGCAGTGCAAAGACTGCTACCGTATGTCCAACGAAAAGTCCGACAAATACTGGTTCTGTAAGCCATGCAGACCGCCACACCAGCTTGTATATGCCAAGCAGAAAGGCTTTCCATATTGGCCCGCTAAGGTAAGAGTAATTAGATGATAGTTTTAATATCTCTGTAGTAGAATTTGTGGCCTGGTTACAGATTCTTTAATGAAATTATTTTGCTATTTTTGGAGATTAATCAGAAAGCTTAAGTTGCCTTTTTTTTCTTGTATCTTGAAATCTAGATAGATGATATCTTTTGATAGCTTCATAGGATAGTCATAAGACAAGATCTAGCCTTGCATGAATAACTTGTGTATGTCAGTCAGTATATCCGTATTCATATATTTCTATATATAGAATCATTTGCATTTCTACATGACACACATCTTATAACATGCAATTAACCTGTATTCTTTTCTCTCTTTTCAACAAGGTAATTAAAGTAGAAAACGACCTTTACGACGTTCGGTTCTTCGGTAGCCAGCATCAGAGAGCCGTCATCGAAAAAACACATATTCGTCCAATATCAGTTAACATTCATACTCTGCAGGTCAGTTCATATAACTCTATGGATGTATTTACATTTGTTACGTGTCTTTAGTGGTTCTGGTTTTTATATTACTACCACAACCCCACAACATGCCTTAACAATGTTTGTTGTTTTTCTGCAGGTAAAAAGGACATCAGCCTGGAACAAGGCATGTGAGGAGCTCAAAAAACACCAGGAGTTACTCTCTTCCGTTGGCACCGAGCCAGACTTGCGCAACTCCCGTACCGACAACGACAAGATGCTTACAGATAACCTCAGGTAAGGGACTAGGTTGAGGAGAAAATGATGATGATGATGATAAAGGAAGAAGTTGATGAAGAAAAGACTAGAAATGGATGGGAAAGTAGATGAGATAGAAGAAAAGAAAGTATAAGGCGTAATTTTTTTTTTGATGCTGTAAGGATGCTGGCTGTTTAGCTTGTTACAAATAGATATTTTCATAATACTGTATTCTTGTTTTAGTGTTTTGTTAAACTAGAGTAGTAGTTTATGCAAAAATGAGTGAACTGATACAGGCGAACTTTAAATGTACCTGTAAAAGTATTTCTTTTTAGTTAAGTGTCACTCCATTACAGCTTTTTATCATGATTTTTTGTATGTTTCAGACACCAAACGCAACTGCTGTCGACGCCGCCCAAGAAAGAAGTGAAGGAAGAAGAGGTGAGGATTGCATTAATAATAAAAGCCATGTATAGTCAGTCAGATAGTTGGATATAGTAGTAGCTTGGGAGTCATCTCTCTCTTTTTGGTTCCTTTTCCTTATTTGGGGTTTTATTCATTTTTATAATTATTTTTATTGTGTTTTTTATCTCATTATCTTTTCTCTCTTGTATTCTTTATTCTCCCTCCTCTCTTTTTTTAGAGAGAGAAAAAAAAACAACAATAGAATAGAAAAGCAAATTTGTAACTCACCCCAAAGAGAGGTAAATAACAACCCTCCCTGACCAGGACTTAAACCCAGGTCACCCCAGGTATGAAACCGTAGGACCAGTACTAAACCAACCAAGGCACACAACCCACTAAAAGGAGTGTGCAACTAGGATCTCACTAGCTTTATAGACATTACCTACCTACTCATACTAGAGTAATGATATTGAAGCCGCATGACCCAGTAAAAGGAGTGTGTGGTTTAGTACTGTTGCCCTCCGGTTTCATACACAGAGTGACCTGGGTTTGAGTCCAGGTCATGGAGGATTGTTATTTATCGATATCAATGCGGAATTGCATTATTCCATCTTTCATAAATATACCTCAGTACATCTGACCTTGGATTTGAATTGCTAAATCATTTTCCACCAAGTGCCCATGAGGAGTGTGAGTAAAGCTTTGCTATCATTACTCTAGTATGTGTAGGTAGGTAATGCCTATGGAACTAGTGAGATTCCTAGTTGCACACTCCTTCTAGTGAGTTGTGTTGCATAGTTGGTTTACTACTGGGCCTGATCTGGGTTCAAGTCTTGGTCAGGAGGGTTGTTATTTATCAATATCAATTTAGCATTGCATTATTCCATCTTCCAAAAAGAGATAGACAAGCAGAGAGACAGATAGACAGCAGACAGACAGACAAACAGATGGGTAGACAGTTAGATGAGTAAATAGATCAGATTTATCTATTTTGTTTGAGTGTTCTATTTGTTTTTTGTTTTTTTTCCAGTTCAGAAACTACACTAGGAAAAGTGGAAAAGTTGATTGAAAGTTAATTGACCTACATTGAATCACACTTGGCTCAGGCATTTGGGTAACCCTTTCTGTTGGGCCCAAGAGAGATTGAAATAGATGAATAAATAGATAAATAAATAAAGCCCACTTAATTGAAATACCTCATTCTAGGATGGCAGTGGAAGTGACGAAGGCATGAACGAAGCGGATGAGAATGATGATGAAGACGACGATGAAGAAGAGGAGGAGGAAGACGAGCGTGAAGGAGGGGAAGAAGAGGAGGTGGAGGAGGAGGAGGAGAGAGAAGAAGAGCAAGCCTCATCGATATCGTCCACCTCAAGAGCCAAACGCTCCAAAATGAGAAAGGTACAGTTGATATAGCAATTAAAGGATTGGAAGTACTTCGGAACAACAGAAAAAGCGCTGACAGTACAATCAGATAACAATAGATATGATAACATTGTATTAATATATTTTTGCTCTAGATCTTCATTTCATTTATTGTTATTTTCACAAATTGCACTCTTTTGTATTCATTTTCTTTAGTATTATCTGACACACTCTGCCATATAAGTCAATTGCTATGCCCTCTCGTTTCGCAGAAAGAACCTCCAGCGCCAGAAGATGTGGTTTCATCATCCAGCCAGGAACTCCCCACGCGATCAATAGGGGTCCAGACGTCCATGAGGTTAATGAAGGTCAGTGGATGTGTGTGTGTGTGTGTGTGTGTGTGTGTGTGTGTGTGTGTGTGTGTGTGTGTGTGTGTGTGTGTGTGTGTGTGTGTGTGTGTGTCTTCGTGTGTGTGTGTGTGTCTTCGTGTGTGTGTGTGTGTGTGTGTGTGTGTGTGTGTGTGTGTGTGTGTGTGTTTGTGTGTGTGTGTGTGTGTTCGTGTTCGTGTATGTGTGTTCGTGTGGGTGCATGCTAGAGAGAGAGAGAGAGAGAGAGAGAGAGAGAGAGAGAGAGAGAGAGAGAGAGAGAGAGAGAGAGAGAGAGAGAGAGAATGAGAGAGAGAGAGAGAGTGAAAGAGAGAGGAAGAGGGAAGGGCATATGTGTGTATGTCTGTGGAAGGGGATACATATTCATGCTAGCTTATAATGGCATGAAAAGAAAAAAGTATATATTTTTTTCTCAAACTGCACCTTACAGTAACTTCCATTTATTTTGCATGTGTTATTGTAGTAGAATATTTATACATATCAATCCAGTCTTATGTAAGAAGAAACAATATTTCAGATGGTTTTGGAAGAATTTGGTGAGCGTAGCAACAAAAGAAGCAAAGACACAGAGAAAGCCATGAGAGACCTGGCAGAGAAGGCAAGTATTTATTGTCTTTATTATCAGTTTTTATTATTATTTTTGTTGTTAATATTATTACATGTTATTATAGTTATTATTTTATTACTATTGTTATTATTGTTATTATTATTAATGTTACTATTACTGTTATTTTTATTGCATTTGTTATTATTATTATTATTATTATTATTATTATTATTATTATTGTTATCTTTATTATTGCTATCACTATTATTGATTTTTTCCATCATTATTACTGTATTTACTATTATAGATATTATCATTATTATCATTTATATTTTTACGATTGTTACAAATATTATCTTTGTTGATGTTATTATGACTATTATTGTTATTATTATTATTATTACTATTATTATTATTATTATTATTGTTATTGTTATTATCACTGTTACTGATATTTTCTATTATTATTATTATTTCTTATTATGACAATTAGTAGTTTAATGGTAATATTATCATTGTCATTGAAAATGAATTAGAAGACAGTTTCTTTTCTTTTCTTTTCTTTTCTTTTCTCTGTGTGGTAGTGTATTTTTGTCCCTCTTTGGGCTACCAAAAGACGGGCCAGAGAATATCAGGATAAGAATGCCAATCCTTCTTTTCTTCTTCTTTGTTTTCCTTCTTTCTTCTTCTTTGTTTTCCGTCTTTCTTTCTTTCTTTTTTCTTTTTCTTTTTCTTCATTTTCTTTCTTCTTCTTTCTCCATCTTCTCCTCCTCCTCCTCCCTCTCCTTTCTTCTTCTTTTTTCTTTTTCTTCTTCTTTTATAGTACTGACTTTCTGAGCACCGAGTTTCAACAAGGTATTAGGTTTCCTGGTTTTATGTAGCATACAAAAAAAACTAAGGAAAAAATCTTTTACGTCAGATTACATGTCTGAGATCCAGACTTGGCCTTTCAGTTTAGAAGAACCTCAGTCTTGTATTTCCCCTTGTCCCTATTGCATCACCTGAGCCTTAAGTTAGACCTACCTTTGAGCTTAACCAACTTACCACACACATTAACACTGAAATGTCCTTGGCCAACGTAGCTCCGCCGAGAATACGAGAGTGAGAAGCAGAAGGTGATCCAGTCGACGATGAAACAGATGGAGAAGGAGATGGAGAGAGTCAAGGAAGAGTACAGGAACAAGATCTCCGACATTGAAGACAAGCACAAGCACATCATCTCAGACACCAAGAAGAAACAATGGGTGAGTGTCAGCATTGTCATAGTATTTAGTATTTAGCCCATTGCTGCTGGGTTCGTGAACTGTCACCGGCACTGTAGTTTACATGCTTTGTTACAGTCACTGTAGTTTTGTTTTGTGAATTTTGTTTGCACATAGGTTCTACGAGTACTCAGTCACCAACAGCCCAGTTAGTAGGCTTATGCCTACTAACCTGGTTTTCTCTTTCCTTGAGGTTATGATTTTTATGATATTAACAGTACTAGTAGTAATAATAGAAGTAAAGAATCTCCAAAAATCAAGGAAAAGGGTATACAAGTGACCTAGGTAGTGCTAGTAATTGACTCCTAGTAATAGGACTAAAGAACTAAAATCACAGCAGATATAACATATCATTGGAAATTCCATACAGTTCATTATGCTGGAATATAGTCATAGTAAGCAGGCCCCTACCCATTCATGATTGAATACTGAACATTGCATCAGAGTGCATGTTGAGTCACCTGCTTGAGGGAAAAATCAGAGGCATGGGAAACATAAGATATTGATTCTCTTGGCTGGGGCATAAACAGTGTGATTGCACCCAAACCAAACAAGTGCACAACTGTTTAGTTGTATGTAACTTAGAGCAGGCTCGACTATACATGAAGAGCAGATGTCGTCTTGGTGTCAGGGATGTGGCATGATAGGATGTCCAGTGTCTCCCAATATGATCGGGTTAATGACTAATGTATCTTTTCTTCTTAATGTTGCAGTGCTGGACGTGCGAAGCCGAGGCAATCTACCACTGTTGCTGGAATACGGCTTACTGTTCGATTGAGTGCCAGCAGGTACATTGGCACAAAGAACATAAAAAGCTTTGCCGCAGAAAGAGGTAATTTAGTGCAAATAGTGGGGCTGTGTTTGATGTGAGATACAAGAAGAGTGAGTTTTATTAGTATTGTCATTGGTTTGCTGTTATTATCATTATTAACATTATTATTATTATTGCTATTATTATTGTCATTATTATTATTATTATTATTATTATTATTATTGTCATCATTATTATTATTGCTATTATTATTGTCATTATTATTATTATTATTGCTATTATTATTGTCATTATTATTATTATTATTATTATTATTTTTTTTTTATCTCTTTTTTTTTCTTCTTCTTTTTTTTTTATTATTAGTATTATTATTTTAATTTTTTTGCACACTACCCACAAACCTCAACATAGCAGGTTGGCCGGTGTTTGGGAGAATGGCGAGGTGTACGACTCCCCATTACGTGTTGGAAATCACTAGATGTTCTCACTCTCTCACTCTCTCACTCTCTCACTCTCTCACTCTCTCACTCTCTCACTCTCTCACTCTCTCACTCTCTCACTCTCTCACTCTCTCACTCTCTCACTCTCTCACTCTCTCACTCTCTCACTCTCTCACTCTCTCACTCTCTCACTCTCTCACTCTCTCACTCTCTCACTCTCTCACTCTCTCACTCTCTCACTCTCTCACTCTCTCACTCTCTCACTCTCTCACTCTCTCACTCTCTCACTCTCTCACTCTCTCACTCTCTCACTCTCTCACTCTCTCACTCTCTCACTCTCTCACTCTCTCACTCTCTCACTCTCTCACTCTCTCACTCTCTCACTCTCTCACTCTCTCACTCTCTCACTCTCTCACTCTCTCACTCTCTCACTCTCTCACTCTCTCACTCTCTCACTCTCTCACTCTCTCACTCTCTCACTCTCTCACTCTCTCACTCTCTCACTCTCTCACTCTCTCACTCTCTCACTCTCTCACTCTCTCACTCTCTCACTCTCTCACTCTCTCACTCTCTCACTCTCTCACTCTCTCACTCTCTCACTCTCTCACTCTCTCACTCTCTCACTCTCTCACTCTCTCACTCTCTCACTCTCTCACTCTCTCACTCTCTCACTCTCTCACTCTCTCACTCTCTCACTCTCTCACTCTCTCACTCTCTCACTCTCTCACTCTCTCACTCTCTCACTCTCTCACTCTCTCACTCTCTCACTCTCTCACTCTCTCACTCTCTCACTCTCTCACTCTCTCACTCTCTCACTCTCTCACTCTCTCACTCTCTCACTCTCTCACTCTCTCACTCTCTCACTCTCTCACTCTCTCACTCTCTCACTCTCTCACTCTCTCACTCTCTCACTCTCTCACTCTCTCACTCTCTCACTCTCTCACTCTCTCACTCTCTCACTCTCTCACTCTCTCACTCTCTCACTCTCTCACTCTCTCACTCTCTCACTCTCTCACTCTCTCACTCTCTCACTCTCTCACTCTCTCACTCTCTCACTCTCTCACTCTCTCACTCTCTCACTCTCTCACTCTCTCACTCTCTCACTCTCTCACTCTCTCACTCTCTCACTCTCTCACTCTCTCACTCTCTCACTCTCTCACTCTCTCACTCTCTCACTCTCTCACTCTCTCACTCTCTCACTCTCTCACTCTCTCACTCTCTCACTCTCTCACTCTCTCACTCTCTCACTCTCTCACTCTCTCACTCTCTCACTCTCTCACTCTCTCACTCTCTCACTCTCTCACTCTCTCACTCTCTCACTCTCTCACTCTCTCACTCTCTCACTCTCTCACTCTCTCACTCTCTCACTCTCTCACTCTCTCACTCTCTCACTCTCTCACTCTCTCACTCTCTCACTCTCTCACTCTCTCACTCTCTCACTCTCTCACTCTCTCACTCTCTCACTCTCTCACTCTCTCACTCTCTCACTCTCTCACTCTCTCACTCTCTCACTCTCTCACTCTCTCACTCTCTCACTCTCTCACTCTCTCACTCTCTCACTCTCTCACTCTCTCACTCTCTCACTCTCTCACTCTCTCACTCTCTCACTCTCTCACTCTCTCACTCTCTCACTCTCTCACTCTCTCACTCTCTCACTCTCTCACTCTCTCACTCTCTCACTCTCTCACTCTCTCACTCTCTCACTCTCTCACTCTCTCACTCTCTCACTCTCTCACTCTCTCACTCTCTCACTCTCTCTCTCTCTCTCTCTCTCTCTCTCTCTCTCTCTCTCTTCTCTCTCTCTCTCTCTCTCTCTCTCTCTCTCTCTCTCTCTCTCTCTCTCTCTCTCTCTCTCTCTCTCTCTCTCTCTCTCTCTCTCTCTCTCTCTCTCTCCTTCCTTCCTTCCCCCACCCCCTCCCCTCCTCTGTCTCCTTTCCTTCCTCTTTATTACTCTCTTTCTCTGCACTGATTTGCAAATTCATTGCCATACTTGCAAATATCATTTTTTAGTGTGTGAGTGTGTGTGTATGTTTTTGTATGTGAGAGTTTGTGTGCAAACATGCTCACATGTGTGCGTGTTGTACCCTGTCTGTTAATTCAGTTGGCAATCAGTGATACCACAAGATTATAGATTAATTTGATAATTAACTTTTCCTTAATTAATTTACTTAGTAACTTTTTTATTTCATATGTATATATAGAGATATGTATAGATTTGTTTAAGACATGGTCATAATTTTTTTTTTTTTCTTTTCTTTTCTTTATAATTTTTCTTCTTTTTATTATCATTATGGTAATTCCTTTATTATTCTGATTTTAGACATAGTAATCTGTTAATAGGCAGCATTTTGTTCTCTGGCTGACAGATTGACAATAGCTGGTAGCTAAGGAGATGCATTATTTGAGAAGAAAGTGTAAAACATTTGTATAATGGAGAAGGTAACTCTTCTTCTTTGACTGTACTTTGAGGTGCAGCTTACATCTATTTTGTTACTATGTCATACCAGTACAGATACTACTACCTGTAACATTATCCAGGCATGTTATATTTTTTATCTTCTCTTTTTCATTCTCTGCCTCTTTTCTCCTTTTTTTTGTTCTATTCAATTTTATTCTATTTTATTTTTTTCCCTCTCTGTCAAATTTCCGATACTAGGTAGAACACGGTGTAAATTTAGGGAGCCAGGCCATTATTTTTTCTAGGCTTGCCATCTTGATAAGGTGCAGTAACAGTCTATTTTTTCTAGTAAGCATTGACTGCTGTCAGGAATACAGTTTTTTTTTCTGGCTGTTAGCATTAGGGTGTGGCTCTTAGGTCAAGGAAGGTGAACGGAGGTGGACAATCGAGAGGAGATTGAGTATCATTACCAGTGGGTTCATATTTCGACTCCTGTTGGTGCTCGTAATGATATTTTGGTTTTACTGTGTGCATTTTTTCTCCGTAATTTTTAGTTAGTCTAGGAGAAAAGACATATTTCTAACCTGTTATTACACATAGATAACAAGATTTCTTTGTTCAGGTATTATTCAGTAGCTCATTTTTGTGCTTGTTATCTGCCTTGCAAAACTCGGAATGGTACAAACGATTAGCTGTTGCTGTACAACCTCTTCACTTTAGATAATCAGTTAAGGTGGGCGTCGCCAGAAAGCCAAATGTAGGATAGTAAAGCCAGGGTTTGTTTGGGATAGGAATTCACATACAAATCACACAATGTGTCTGTGTGTGTCTTAGTGTGATGCCTGTATATTCATACGTATACACATACACACACATATATACATTATGTACATTTTTACATGCTTACATACGAATGTACCTACAGATATATTTATATGTTAAAGGGTTTGTAATGTTTACTTGAGTGTTTTATCGTACTGAATTGACTTTGATGTTTTATTGAAGGCAAATGTGTCATTGTGGTATGTTCACAGTAAGAAATACCTGCCAGATGTGAGATTTAGGAATGTCTTGAGCTTGTTTCCCTTCTTGCAAGTTTGCTGGTGTATATTATTTTACTTTTTTTCCCAAGTTGCTTTTTTTATGCATTCTTTCTTTTGTTCTATTTGTCCTTCTTTCTCTGACGCTCTGTTGATATTTATTAATTTATTGCACAAATTTCTTTGGACTATGCCATGATGTGAACTAGAAAGAGTAAGTAGATGCCATAAAGAAACCCCATGTTTATTATTATTAAATGTTATTAAAGCCTTGTTAAAAATTGCATCACAAAATAGTGACACAATTAAGACTCAACATCAGCTCTTATTCACAAAGTCTCATACTCATCGCAGTTGCCCCCTTTACAGCCGTCTTGTGTATTGAATGAATATTTGTTCTACTTTTAGTTTCCACTGCTAGAGCGGGCCGAAGAGTGAAGAGGTGGATCGTAGGCTCTGTCTCTGGACAGTCACAGAACAATATGAAGATGTAATGTTGAGGAACAGGTTGCGCCAGAAAGCCAAATGTAGGATAGTAAAGCCAGGGTTTGTTTGGGATAGGAATTCACATACAAATCACACAATGTGTCTGTGTGTGTCTTAGTGTGATGCCTGTATATTCATACGTATACACATACACACACATATATACATTATGTACATTTTTACATGCTTACATACGAATGTACCTACAGATATATTTATATGTTAAAGGGTTTGTAATGTTTACTTGAGTGTTTTATCGTACTGAATTGACTTTGATGTTTTATTGAAGGCAAATGTGTCATTGTGGTATGTTCACAGTAAGAAATACCTGCCAGATGTGAGATTTAGGAATGTCTTGAGCTTGTTTCCCTTCTTGCAAGTTTGCTGGTGTATATTATTTTACTTTTTTTCCCAAGTTGCTTTTTTTATGCATTCTTTCTTTTGTTCTATTTGTCCTTCTTTCTCTGACGCTCTGTTGATATTTATTAATTTATTGCACAAATTTCTTTGGACTATGCCATGATGTGAACTAGAAAGAGTAAGTAGATGCCATAAAGAAACCCCATGTTTATTATTATTAAATGTTATTAAAGCCTTGTTAAAAATTGCATCACAAAATAGTGACACAATTAAGACTCAACATCAGCTCTTATTCACAAAGTCTCATACTCATCGCAGTTGCCCCCTTTACAGCCGTCTTGTGTATTGAATGAATATTTGTTCTACTTTTAGTTTCCACTGCTAGAGCGGGCCGAAGAGTGAAGAGGTGGATCGTAGGCTCTGTCTCTGGACAGT